CTATGGAGCGGTTCTACTCTGTCCAGTAGGGTTGCTGAGAGTCGGAATTGACTCCATGATGGTGGATTTGGTTTTGGGGGTTGAGCTGGCTTGAGGGCTGTTAGTGGGATGTTTGGCCACCAGGTGGCAGCAATGCACCATCATCACGGCTCCCAGCCCACCTGGTAGGGTTGTTTTGGTCCTGATTGGAACCCATATTTCCAGATGACCCCATGAGGATTAAAGAAGGGGTCCTGAAGCAAATTCTGAGGCGGTCCCAAGTTTGTTCCCAGGTACTTCTTGTTGCTTTAGGACAGAGACTGTCAAAGTGTAGTCTCAACGCCCGCAGCAGCACCGAGAGCATGCTGGAATTGTAAATTCTCTGCTGCCCTTAAACCAGTTGCTGTCAGGTACATTGTGATTCATGATAACTCCAGTGTGCAGAGTAGAGCTTCTCTGCAGGGTTCTCAAGCATCCTCATCTTTTGGAAGCTGATTGCCAGGTTTTTCTTCCTATGTGCCTCTAGGTTCAGTCACCATTTAAATGTGTTACCTGCTCATATGTGTACCACCCAAGGACTCTCAGCTTCCATCATAATTTCTGGGATCCAGCAAACTGTGTTTCAAAAAGTACCTTGGGGGTGAGATGCTGACACAGGTTTGAGAACCACAGCTAAAGGGTTTTGTGTCTCCTTTCTGCACATTTCCTCCTTTCAAATGACAGAATGACCTCCATTCTCAAACAACAGTTTCTGATGGATTCTGCTATGATGTGAGGTTATTCTTTGTCCATTGAGTGAGTTGTGTATAAATCGTCCTGGTGTGGTGCTGTAGGATCAGTACTGGATGACAAACCACAAGGTTAGTACTTCAAACCCACCAATTGCTCTTTGGAAACCCTATACAGGTCACTATGAGTTGGAACTGACTGCACAGCACTTAACAACAACAAGAAGTCTCCACTATCCTTGATTGAGGAAAGACCAGCCCGGTACCCACACTCCCATTTTTCAAGGCAGCAGTGGGGAGGAAAGGAATGAATATATTGGTAAATTTTAGTTTTCTTCCAAGCACTTGTTGTTTGTTGTTAAGCGTTGTTGAGTCAGTTCCAACTCATACTGACCCTGTATGGGGATTCTGACGAGCAGCTGGTGCGTATGAATCACTGACCTTTTGGTTCAGTGCATTATCCTGCAATGTCATACTAGGATTCCTAGCAAGGGCTTTATATGCAAACTTATTATCCCTGATGCTCCCCCACCCTGAGATTGCCACACACCCTCTTTATAACACTCTTGCTTTTTGTTGAGTTGATTCTGACTCCTGGTAACCCTATGTATATTTGAGTAGAACTTGGTTCTGTAATGACTGGAGCTTTTCTTTTTTTTTTTGGCAGTGGATTGCCAGGTCTTTCTTCCAAGGCACCTCTGGTGGATTTGAATCTCTAGCCTTTGAGTTAGCAGCCAAGTACCTCAACTGTTTGTACCACTCAGGACTATGTTCAATTATTTGTTATTATTAGGCGCTGTCAACTTTATTTTTACTCATAGTGACGCCATGTGAGAAAGTAGAACCACCCTATTGGATTTCATAGGCTGTCAGGAATCCTGGTGTGGCACTGTGGGATAAAGTACTGGACCGCAAGGTCATTTTGAACCAAAAGGTCTGTGGTTCAAACTCACCAGCCGCTCCTTGGAAGTCCTATAGAAGGGGTATTGTGAGTTGGAAATGACTTGATGGCACACAACAACAACTATCTTTATGGAGTCCTTGTGTGGCACTGTAGGATAAGCACTGGACTTTGAACTGCAAGGTCAGTGGTTCAAACCCACCAGCTGCTCCTCAGAAATCCTATACTGGATCGCTATGTGTCAGCAATGACTCAATGGCACTGCACAACAAAAGGAAATCTTTATGGAGGCAGAAAGCCAGGCCTGTCTCCTTCAGGACCACTAGATAGGTTTGACCCACCCACCTTTAGCTTAACAGCTGATCTCTGAGCACTTAGCCATTGTGCCACCAGGGCCTTTTTGTTACAGGGTTAACCCCACCAAACCCACTGCCATTGAATCAATTCCAACCCATAGAAGTGCACCTTAGGTTTCCAAGACTATCTGTCTTTAACAGAAGCATGCTAGCTTTTCTCTGAAGAGTGGCTGGTAGGTTTAAAGTGCTGATCTTTTGTGGTTAGCAGCCCAACTTGTAATCCACTGTACCTCAAGGGATCCTTTACTAAATGATTATCTGGGTAGTTGTTTAATGTCAATTTCCCCATTGGAATGAAAGCTCTGTAAGGCATGTTGAGTTCACCATTCTATACCTGCCACCTCATTGCACCAGAAGGAGTACCTTGTACGAATTCAGTAACTGATCTCTGGCTGATTTACTCACAGTTCCCTTGCAACAACCCATGCAGGTAAGCACCACTATCCCCATTTTACAAATGAGTAACTAAGGCTAATAGAAGAAGAAATGACTTTCTACCACACTGGTAGAAAGTGGAGAAACTGGAATTTCTATAAATCTACCATAATATCTCCAACTGTTCTTGCACCCCCACACCCCAATACCTCTACTAACCACACTGGGGCATCTTCGCTGATGTCCTGGTTATTGTTGGGACCTGTGTTTATTGTGGTTTCTCCCTGATGCTGGACTGGCGGGAGGTCAGGGGAACACCTTTTGAAGCCTCCAGCACTGGCGATTGTGATGGGCGAGATGTGCTGACCCCAATTTTAAAAATAGGGACCTTGAAATAGCCCTTCCTGTGTCTCCTCCTCACTATGGCCTTTGATGGCAGCTGAGCATGCTGGGTGACTGAGGCCAGCGTCCAGTGGCAGTTCTGGACAGACAGGCTCTGGGCCAGGCTGGGGGCAAAGCCCACAACACACATGATTTTACTTCTGTCATTGCATTCATCATGAGTCCTGGAGCCACAGGGATTTTTCATGTGCTTTTCCCTCTACCTGGAACACACTTCCTTCCCCATTTGTCCAATTAGATCTTACGCAGGCTTCAAATATCATCTTGCCTTTCTGTCTTCAAGTGGGCTGGTAGACCCACTAATGACATGCATGTTCCTTTACCTCACTTTTGAAGCCCCTAACCACACATGTATATAGTTTTATATTTATTTGTCTAACTCCTTGGTTCATTTTCATCTCTCACTAGACTTAAAAAAAAATGTATATATTTTGTTGTGGTGGTATGCATACAGCACACACCAGTTCAACAGTTCCTATATATATATATATATATATATATATATATATATATATATACATCATTTAGTGACATCGATTACATTCTTCTGACTCGTTTCTCCTCTATTAACACAACCCACTGATCCCTAAGGTCATGTTGAATCTTTTAACTTGTTGTTGTTGTTGTTGTTGTTAAGTACAGTGGAGTCGGTTCCGACTCATAGTGACCCTGTACAGGGTTTCCGAGGCTGCAAATCTTTACGGAAGCAGAAAGCCTCATCTTTCTCCTACGGAACAGTTGGTAGTTTCGAACTGCCGACCTTGAGGTTAGCAGCCCGATTCGTAACCACTACGCTACCAGAGCTCCTTGTTGTTGTTGTTAGGTGCCATCAAGTTGATATGCATAATGGAACAAAACACTGCCCGATCCTGTGCCAACCTCACAATTGTTGCTATGTTTGAACCGATAGCTGCTGCCACTTTGCCAAGCCATCTCATTGGGGGTCTTCCTCTTTTTCTCTGACCCTCCACCTTACCAAACATGATATCCTTCTCCAGGGACTGATCCCTCCTGACAATATGTGTGAAGTATGAGAGACGAAATTTAGCCATCCTGGCCTCCAAGGAGCGTTCTGGCTGTACTTCCTCCAACACAGATTGGTTTGTTCTTTTGGAAGTCCATGGTATTTTTAATATTCTCCTCCAACACCATAACTCACATGCATCAATTTTTCTATGTTTTCCTTATTCATTGTCTAACTTTCACATACATATGAGGTTATTAAAAATACCATGGCTAGAGTCAGGCGCACCTTAGCCCTCAAACTGATATCTTTTCTCTTGAATACCTTAAAGAGGTCTTGTGTAGCAGATTTGTCTAATGCAATATGTTGTTTGATTTCTTTACTGCTGCTTCCATGATGATGGTTGATCCCAGTAAAATGAAGTCTCTGACAACTTCTATCTTTTCTCCATTTACATGGATGTTGTCTATTGGTCCAGTGCTGAGGATTTTTTATTTCTTTACATTGAGGTGCATTCATACCGAAGGCTATGGTATTTGATCTTCATCTGTAAGTATTTTAAGTCCTCTTTGCTTTGAGCAAGCAAGATTGTATCATCTGCATATCTCAGGTTGTTTGTTAATGAGTCTTCCTCCAAGCCTGATGCCATATTTTTCTTCATATAATCCAGTTTCTCAGATTATTTGCTCAGCATACAGACTGAATAAATATGGTGAGAGAATATAGTCCTGGCCCACACCTTTCCTCATTTTAAACCAGATTTGATGTACTATTATCAGTTTGATCCCACATATTGTTGCTGTTGTTAGAGTTTGACTCTTAATGACCCCTATACACAACAGAATGAAGCACCCACCCTGTTTTGTATCATTTTCACAATTATTGTTATACTTGAGTCCACACAAATCCACCTCACTGGGGTCTTCCCCTTTTTTGCTGACCCTCCATTTTACCACACATGATGTCCTTTTCCAAGATCTGTTCTTTTTAGTAGATAGCTTTTAAATGCATAATGCTCAAGGCAGATGATTTTGTTTTTAATTAGTTAAGCTCAAATATTGTTTATCTTGGAGGTAGTACAGCCAGAAGAATGTTCCTTAAAAGTGAAGATGGTGATACTTCATCTCATGTCCTTTGGCCATGTTATCTGGAGAGACCAGTCTCTGGAAAAGGACATCATCTTTGGTAAAGTAGAAGGATCAATGAAAGAGAGGAAGACCTCAAATGAGATGGATGGACACAGTGGTTCCAACAGTGGACTCACATAACAACAATTGTGAGGAGGGCACAAGACTAGGCAGTATTTTGTACTATTGTACGGAGGGTCACTATGAGCCTGAGCCAACTCAATGGCACATAACAAGAACAACATCATTTTTGGTTTTAAGAAGACTTCAAGAATTATTTTTGGTTTAAGGCTTAAAGATAAACTCAGGCAAATAGTTTCAGGGATTCATCTAATCTTCATGATGTCAGGAAGTTTGAGTCCACAAGAATTTGAAATTCTGTTCTACATGTCCCTCCTTTTGATCAGGATTCTACTAATAGGATCTTGATCAAAATGTTCAGTAATGTTTCTGTTGTACATAGGGTCACTGTGAGTCAGAACTGACAACATGATTTTGTAGCAATGCTTTTTTTTTTTTAATAGAGAAAGAGAATTTTATTATCAAGGAAATGGTTTACATTATAGAGTACCAGGTCCTCAGAGGGGGAGAAAGAGAGTCCCTCACATATGCCGTTATATTGGGAGCAGGCCACACCCCCAAGGAAGCATCCCTTTAACTTATTGGCCATTAATAGACACTCATCAGAGTTAACTATGTAGCAATACTTTTTGACTTACCCTTTACAAGCATTTAATAAACCCCTTTACTTCATGCCAGGGTTTCTCCACCGTGGCCTGACTGACAGGCTGTGGGGGGTGTTTCTATGCTTCATAGATGTTGAGAACATTCCTGCTATCTTCTCACTAGATGCCAGTTGTTGTTGAGTGCTATTGAGTCGATTCCAACTCTCAGCAACCCCATGTGGCAGGGTAGAACTGCCCCCATAGGATTGTTGTTTTTAAATAGGACCTACATCTCATTCATTCTACAGATTGCCAGTTAAAATGGTACCATTTCCCCTAAGATACTGAATAAATTGAACTGTATTCTTCTATTTAGCAGATATTTTTAAAAACTTTTAATTGTGATTTGACTGAAAGTTTACAGAACAAATTGGTTTCCTATTCAACAATTCATGCACGTTTTGTTTCATGACATGATTGCAATATCCCCACAATGTAACAACACTCTTCCCACTTCCTCCGTGTGTATACTATTTCCATTCATCATTTTTTCCTACCTCTTCCTATCTTCTGAGCTTATCCCTGGACAGATGCTATTCACACTTCCCTGGTGTTATTGTTCACCTTTTAGGCCTGTCTACCATTTGGCTGAAAGTTTTGTTCCAGGCTTAAAGGGTCACCTCATTGAACTGCTAACCACAAGGTCAAAAGTTCAAACCCACCAGCCACTCATCAGAAACCCTATACAGAATCACTATGAGTTGGAATTGACTTCAGGACACACAACAAGGACCCTAGTCTTGGGGGATTCACCAGTCTCTACTAGGCCTTTTGTTTTAAATTATGATTTTGAGTTTTGTTCCACATCTTCCTGCGCTACCCAGGACCTCCTGTTGTGTTCCTTTCAGAGCAGTCAGCCTTGGTGGTTGGGTATCATCTAGTTCCTCTGGTCTCAGGGTCATCAGGGTGGGGTGTGCCTGGCCTATGACTTCTTTGAACTAATTGTTTCCATGTGTCTTCGATTTTCTTCACCTTTCTTTCCTGTGAACAGAAAGAAACCAATAGGGGCACCTTAGATGGCCGCTCATAACATTTAAGACCCCGGTCACAGGTCATCAAAGTTGGTTATAATCTTTACAGAAGCAAATCACTGGGTCCATGGTGCTTCTCAAGAGAAAGATGAGACTTTCACAGTCTCAGAAACCCTATCCAGGGTTGCCATGGTTGGAACTGACTTGATGGCACACAACCACCACCACCATTAAATTTTTTTTTTTTTATTGTGAACTGAGTGATAGTTTACATGAGAGAACATCAGCTTTATAGCACCATTTCATTGCAATGATTATAATCTCTTCCATGCATCATCATTCAACAGTATTTGCTTTCATTCCCTCTGTTTTTCTCTATTTATGGGGTTTGTGTGTATGTATGTGTGTGTGTGGGGGGAGGGAGATGTGCACAAAAACACTAAGGCATGTATAATAATTTAAACAACCAAAGGGCACATTCTGCAAGCCTGCCTCATGGCCGCCAGCACTCAGTCCCTCTCTTTCCATGAATCTAGAGTTCTCAGATGCTCCCTCTCTCCATGTCCTCATCTCTGCCTCCATCTCTGGTGTTGCTGCTTCTCCGGATGTTGTTGTTAAGTACAGAGGAGTCGGTTCCAAATCATAATGATCCTGCACAGGGTTTCTGAGGCTGTAAATCTTTATGGGAGCAGAACACCTCATCTTTCTCCCGCAGAACCGCTGGTAGTTTTGAACTGCCAACCTTCGGGTTAGCAGCCTGATTTGTAACCACTACGCTACCAGAGCTTCTTCTCTGGATAGGGTCCCACATTCCGCTTATGCTCTTCTCCCTTGATGGTCCTAGGGCCCTCTGTTTCTGGACTGTAAGATTAACTACTCATCTGTTTCTGTTACAAAGCTTCTACCTTTACAGTTTCCACCACCACCAATTTGTATGAAAGCAGATTGCCAGGTCTTTGTCCTGTAGAGCTGCTGGATGAGTTTGACCCTCCAAATTTTCAGTTAGCTGTTGTGTGCATAACGAAGGCTCCTTCTGACACATACATAGAAACTCTATTTAGAATGAATGTAAGGTTGTGAGTAGGAGAGGAATGCTAGACTTTCCCCCTCTGCACCTCTGCGTAGACATATGCATGTGTCCATGGTGCTTCTGGGTGGGTTCAAATTGCCAACCTTGAATTAGTGGTGGTTGTTGTTAGATTCTGTTGAATTGATTCTGGCTCATAATGACCATCTGTGACCGAATAAAACTACCCATTAGGGTTTTCTAGGCTGTCATCTTTATGGAGATCCCTGGTGGCATAGTGGATTACGAGCTGGGCTGTTAACTTCAAGGTTGGTAGTTCAAATCTTCCAGCTGCTTCTTCACTCTTATTCTTTTCTGTCATTCTGGGAGGAGCAATGGAAGGATCTGGGAGTCACTTGCAAACTCTTGACCTTGAGACCCTGGGACGAGCAAGGACTAGGCAGGGAAGAACAAGTAGACGAAGCAGGAACCACTTCAGTTAACCTGAGGGTGTGCCCATGGGCTAAATGAGAAGTGGCATTTATTTTTTCTGGCATCCCTGGCTGGCACAAGTGGGTAAGCACTTGGATATTAATTGAAAGGGTGGCCATTTGAACCCCCTCAGAGATGCCTCAGAAGACAGGTCTGGTGGCTTACTTCTGAAAGGTCCTACTGGAGCAGAGTACTAATCTGAAACACATGAAGGTTCCATGAGTTGGACTCGGCTCCACAGCAACTAGTTTGGGGTTTATTATTGTTTTTAAATGAAAAGAGCTCACTTTTATTAGAGCTTTTACATGGAAGCTGCTCAAACAAACAAATAGGACTTTAGGGATGTAGGCTCAGGTTGTGTAGGGAAATGTTGGCCTGAGAAAGAGTTTGAATTCAACCCTGAAGGCACTGGGGAGCCATGGGAGGACTGTGAGCAAAGGAGTAAACTGGTTGGGCTGGTGCTGGAGACCACACCCTCTGGCTATTGTGTGGAGTTTGGGAGATATAGTGGAAACCCACTCAGTACCCTTGAAACCACTTCCTTACCTTCCCCTGCCCTAAGATAGCCACTGGTATCTTTATTTTCTGATGTTTACTCCATAGCTGTGTATCCATAAACAATGTATTGTATTGTTTCAAAACAAAACAAAACAAACCCACTGCCATCCAGTGGATTCCCGATTCATAATGACCAAATATAAGGTTTCCAAGACTGAAGTCTTGAGGAGAGCAGATAGTGGGTTTGAACTGTCAACCTTGAGGTTAGCAGCCCAT